ATATGATATCAGATCTTTTATAAATAATGGCTCAACAAGCGTTACGACACAACTCCTCACACCCAAGACTTTATCAATTAACAGAAGTTATGACAGCTGTATATATCGCAATGTAATCACTCGGAGCTGTTTTAATAAATAATAAAAAAACTCTCATTGATGTATCGAAATATTGTGTAATTGTTAACTGATTCTTGAATCCGTTCCATCCGGAAAATTTATTATCGCTTTTGAAATTCAAGTGCATTCAAAGAATTGACTATGTATACTGGAAAGTACAAAACAGTGGCTGAACACACACGTATCTCAATAAAGAATACTCATTGACTAAATGTGACGAACAGCAGAAATGCCGGTCCACTTCCCCTCCACCTTTTGTTTCTACCCCCCTTTTTTTATGTTTGGCATTTGTAGATGTTTTTAATTTACATTTATATTTGTGATGGTTTTAATATAATATAATAATATGAAAAAATATATCCATATAAAACAAAAGAAATTAAACTTTACTAGTATAATATTACTAGAAAAGAAAAGCTATAAAAAAATGTACAAGTATTTTATCTACAAAACATAATGCAGAAGGTTTTATATTAATAAAATCAAAATAATTGGATTCCGAGTTCACTCTACTAACATAATTGTACACATTGATGTGACCAACATGTCAAAGCCGTCCGTGTTATAAACCTTGGTACCGTCGGTTTCTTTAAAAAAAATGTGGATTTGTGTAAGCGAATCAAATTACACAATTCGTGTTCATTTGATTGAAAGTAAAACAAACGGAAATTAAAAATACATTTTTTTTATACTAAATCAAATTGTCTACCTTTGATCAGAATGATCGACTGCGCCACAGTAAAGCTTGGTAAACGTTTTCGCTCTACTAACAACTTCTCTTCAAAGCTATTGTTGATAACTTGTTTAGACACTCTTTATTTTGTGTTTTTCGTAAGTAAATATAAACACATTTAGGAAGTTAGAAAGCACAGTGGGCTGAAAAGCTTTTATCCAGAACACTAAATACAGTAGCTAGAGGAAGACGTCTCCGAGGGCATTCTCACTAATAAACTTGCGCTATTGAAATCATTGTGATCTTCCAATTCATTGTAAGAAAACAAACATAAAAATTTAATTTTTGGTGTTTGTTTGTCGAGAATTGCTTAAATAGCAAATGGTATACCTCTGTAGAAGAATTCGAACAATATTCCTCAGTTTGTTGTGTAATAATGACAAAATTATCACTTGAAAATGTCGAATCATTAATTTTGACAAATGTTTTATTAATTACTTGAATAAGAAGTCGTTTTTAATGTAACCGAGCACAGTGTACATAGCGTCCAAAACGAGGATCAGAAGCATTTTGAATTGAATAAACAAACTGCACGTCATTTTTATTGTACATACATTAGGGCTATCTCACCAGGTCTTTTCTCTGATATAACTGTCACTTATATGTAATATACAATCTATATAACAATTTTCAGCCTTAGTAAATTCATTTACCACCACAATACCAGCGTAATGGTAAAACATTTGATAACATACATGAGACGTCTATTCTACAGTTCGCTTAACTGACCGCATCATATGTGTGTACACAACTGCTATAACCATCTGCAGAAAATCAGCTGTAGTAAATTCAGAGCATTTTTGTGCCCCGTCTCTCGGTCTATAAAGTTATGTCTACGGGTAAGATCATATCCTCGACACAGACCCGCAGTTTATCGCACATATCAAAAACCAACCTGACAAGTTTATCTTTTTGTTCGAAAACCACGTTTACGACTTGCGACAACTCGTAGATATAAAAGAATTTTTTTTAACGTAACGTGTAACGCAAAAAAAAGTCTTCTTGGCTGTTTTTACTAAAGAAATCATACGTAGTCTCAACGTTTAAAAAACATATACTGGCTATCTTTCGTACGAAGTTAATGACGAAAATATTAGAATTATGTTACACAAATTAGGCAAAAGTAGTTCAAATGGACATCCCACAAAATACTATTGCTTACAAATTTTCTTGCATTCCATTTATTGTATCTGTCATTATTACATTAGTAACGTTCTGACTTTGTGCTTCTTTCTAATTTTGCGATGCAGTTTCGCTCACGATTTATAGCAAAAACCAATGAAATTAAAAAAAGGCGTCTGTTGTGTAACTTTCAGACAAATCGACAAACACCAGAATAGGATCATAAATGTTGTTGCCAAAATATATCTGAAGATCTTTCACAATAGGACAGTACATTAATACTGAAATTGTGTATCTATGTTGGTAACATGTGCACAGCGATTAAATATAATGACAAAAATTAAAACAAAATTAACCAATTAAAGCACTGCTATCAAACTGCAAATTGCTAATGCTTTTGCCGTCTCATTCTTGTTGAATGGAGTTTTAATTTATTATTTATATAGTTCGATAACGCTATAACATCATGACCTCCTGGTACTCTGTCCGTCTAATTGGCGATAAAACTTTTTCAGTTACTTGTTACTTATACAAAAATTAACGTAACTATAAAGAAGTTTTGAATATGGTTAATAAAAATATAGTCAGCGGTCCTATTTCTTGTTCGTGCCAACATCAAGATTTTGGCCTAAATATAGTCGAAACGAATGTTATTTTTCGTTTCGAACTTACTCCGAATTTTCATCGCATTGATCCCTAAATAAATAATGCCATTTTAAGTTTTCGTATATAAATAGATCATGATTTATGACTTTTTAAATGCTATATATAAATATATCTGTTTTTTTTAGCATGATAGTACTCGAAAAGAAATAAATAAATTCTTGTTTTATTAATAGGAAACAATATTTTAAAAATAATACATTGAAGAACACGATTATTATCAACCCGTATACACAAATACGGTATGAATTCGATCATACATCTTTTCACAAATATTGGTAATTTCCTTCTTTTTTAGGACAATTTTGCCAAAGTAACTAAAACATAAATGCATAATTGAAAATATATTTAGAAATAATACACAAGGTGCAATCGAATATGAACCTTTTCATAATCTCCTCCTTTTTTAGAAAAACTTTGCCGAAGTAACAATAAAAAAAAATGTATCATTGAAAACATGTTTATAAATAATCTATACATATATAATGAAAATAGGTTGTCTTTGTTCGCCAATCACGTAAAAACTACTAAACGTATAGACATGGGACTGAAACCATTCGATGCGGGATGATTTGTAGATGGTTCTAGGCTACTCATTTTTCGAGTTCCGTAAATCCTTCGCCATTTTATTTATAAATAAAAATTACCCAACGAAGCGGGCGGGACAGCTAGTATAAAATAATATACACACAACCATACTAAATGTTCGGCCACATTGAAGCACGAGCACTGCGCACCATGGCGTGCGTCTAGGCATTTACCTACAAATGGCGCTTGATGTTGTCAGAGATGTATAAGATCGCCGAGAGTATTATCACATTAGTCTCTGATTTTCTAAATGTGTTCCACTAACCTCTAAACAAACAAGGCAAACTAAGGTAAATTATCGCGTAAACAATACACGGCATGCAATATTATTTGCGAACTCACAGGTTGTTAATTGTCAGGGTGTTTCACTATAAAGTCTTTGATCTGCAAAAATGTCATCTCTGCAAACTCCCCAACAATAAATCATGTTCGCATATTCAATAGCAGTGAAAGGCATTGTTATTAAACACTTAAATATTAATCACACACAGTCTTAGTATCAGAAATGTCAATATCGTAAACGTAAGACTTTACTAACAAAATACCTATTTGTTGTTAAACTTTGTGTAAATTCAACGACAAGCACGCGCACGCACGTGTCCGCCCACCGCACATGTCTGGGTCGTGGGAACTGTTGACGGGGGAAGGCGCGGCATCACACACGTTTTTTTTTTTCATAAGTTTGTCGCTACAAATTATTTATGTACACATTCTAAGCTATTTTCCTCAAAAACGGCTACTTCAATGACTATGATTTCTTGGCAAAGTTGCTCGAGAAAAGAAGGAGATTATGAATTTCTTCAGAATGATAGATAATTGATTCCATACGGTATACACAATCCGACACAACCTTAATAAATGCTCGGCCAGACTGCAAACGCAGACGTGGTTCGTCACAACGCGACACGACGAACTCTTATCAATACAATCGCAACTGATCGGGGATATGCGAATCGGATCACTGACCGGCCCCGCGGCGCATACGCAGTTGGCCATCTAGCCTCACACCCCACCACACTGTGGCACGGTGTCTTCTATTTTTAAGGTTGTTAGTATGACATTTTTCTACGTAGATGTTCTACTATTTTTCTTAGAAATGACTACTATAATGACTATGGTTCCTTTAGCAAAATTATTTCATAAAAGGAAAAGATAGAAGATTGTGAATATTTGCGAAAAGGTATATGATAAAATTCATTATATATTTTGTGTTTAATAATTTCTTCATGTAGATAGCTGACTATAAAGACGATTCCATTTGTTGTTTATCGAAATTAATGAACAATATAACCACTATAAATACAACTTGTATAAATACAATGACCTGTTCTGATTAAACACTAACAGATACATTAAACATTTAATTGAAACTCACCATCGATACTTCACAATTTTTTAGGAATCTATTACAAAAGTTCATATAAATCGATAGGGTAATATTATTACAAACAATAATCCTCTTTTAGAATTTGTGAAAGAAGATCGCCCCGATAATTTAAAAAACTCACAAGGTCTATAATTTTTTTATTATTTAACCTTGTTTATTTCTTACTGGTGCGATTAGAAACTGCTCTCACCCATGTTTCCCGCCAACCTTTTTCAAATGACAGCTAACGTTTGCCATTCACGTGTACTATTTTTGAATCGAAGTTCGTTGACGCGCGTTGTACTCCAGAGGCTTCGCGAATGAGAGCTAGGCCGGAAAAAATGTCCGACACGACAATTTTATCGTTTCAAAAGCTCCCTATAGTCGTCTATTTCACGTCAATTATCAACGATCATACCACGTAGGATACGCTAATTCTAGTTCGATCATCGAAGTTGCCCAAGCAGCTTCAGGCACGATTTGTATTTGGATGGGTTACCGCCTGGGAACAGCCCGTAATGTTGGTTTTATACTGTTACATTTAATTATTATAAAATGTTTATTTCTATAACTAAAATATATTTATATATATTCATTACTATTTTATTGTCATTTCTTCTTCTTTTTTTGTATTCTTCAATTACTTATTTCAAACGTTGTAGACGTCAATTTATTGTAGACCCGCAATCCCAGGGGAGTCACTAAGAGGCTTTTTAGGAAGCAATACGCCCTTTTCTAGTTTCAATATTCATTGGGAATACTACTAATGGTAAACCATTCCAAGTTTTTTCTATACGCGGCAGGAAAAACTTAGAATCACTAGTAGCACAATTCAAATTTTACACAACTACCTCCACGTGTCCTTCAAATTTATATTTTAGTATCAGAATGGTAGTTTTAATAATGAATATATTTAATTTTTTCCGATTGCCAAAGTCCACACAAAGACATTATGTAAACTTGAAAGTTTCATACTCATCAATATATAAGAGTGTTCGATTATATAAGTGACACGGATTAACATCGATTTTTTATTCATGTCCTAGCATCGATTAAATACGTAATAAAATTATTACCGTGTTGACCTACTGTTAGTTGCGTTACTGCGACCAAGTACGTACACAGAACTCATTAGTACAGAACTTCGGTAGCTGAAACGGAAAGCAACTTTTATAGTCCGAATTGCTTTCACGTCCAACAATATTAATTCCGCAGGCTCCGTCCCCCATCGATGAAGAAATCTCGATTTTCGTTATTCACAGAACATCCTAATTTGATTGTTTGCGTTGTATTTTCAATTACCCATAATACTTCTTGAGCGTTTCCTACAATTGAACATTAATTTAGAATTCGTGCTGACCGAAATCGAACGATTGAATATAGGAAACACTATAAAATTGATTAGTTTCGTTGTTTGACGGGCTGTCTGTTTTTTAAATGAGAAACATGCACATTAAAAACGTCACAGTATTAAAATTTAAACAGCCGTACGATATGTGTTTTAAATTTTTAATATTAGGGACATCAAAGGAATTTCTACGGAGGATGTTTTTGAGTTGAGTATATTCCAATACAAGAGGAAGACATTTTATTCTTATACATAAGAACACTTTTTTTAAAGAAATTATTAACCATTACTCTCTCTGCCTTTCGCTCTCAGTGTCTCTCTTTCTCTCCCTCCATCTCTCTTTCTCTCTATCTGTCTCTCTCTTTTCTCTGTCTATCTTTCTTAGGGTGATACAATAATTTCTATTGAGAAAGAGAAAGTATCTCTCTTGTTCTTCCTCTCTCTCTCTTTATTTCATTTTCTTTCTCCCTCTCTTGCTCTTTTTATTTCTTTTAATAAGTGAATGAAAACCCCATGAAGAAACTCGCTACAAAGAATATCGAAACTATAATATCACCGTCAGAACAATTATTTAGTTCACGATTTGAGTTAATTTATTTTATTTTTATGTCTTGAGCTTTCACTAGCTTTAATATTTGAAAGTAAACAATGAATATTTTATTTTTTCTACTATATAATTTACTTTTTTTATGAATATTATAAATTTTCATGACAGCTGACTGGTAAAGGTCAGTACCTTTTCTTCTTGTAAAGCATAAGCATTTACGGTTTTACTTACATTTCGTGGACTGATTAAAGATTGAATGGAATAGCAATTTTTAAAAGAAAAAAACAATAATGAAATTGATATTTTCGGTGGACAGAACACTATGGTAAAAGAGCTAAATACTATGTAGCAATGCATTTGAAAGACTTCTGGACTGGGAAGTCAAAGAGATTCGGTATAATATACGTAAAGAGCACTATTTTTAAAAATATTTTTATTTTTTTAAATTAATCATGTATTTCTATTAGATAGAAAGCCTTGTTAATATTAATATGCCTATACAATGTTTTATTAAATAAGTTATACTGACATGAAAAATAATCATTTGAACAGCACAACGTTCGAGACAAATTATTTAAAATAATTAATGTGAACCAATTAATAAAATAAAGATTTATAATATACTGTTCAAAACCATTACAAGTGAATTTACGAGTGAAAGAAACGAACATTTATATTTAAAACAATTTATTCAACATAACAAGAGATTTACAAAAAAAAAATTTCCTTGTTCCGAAATAGAACTAAAAATAGTTTTTGACGTTCCTTTTTACTTTTCCCACCGCTCAGTCTCGCCACAAGAACACAGAACAACAGCAAACAACAGTCATTCCGCGCGCGGCGGCACGACGTGGAACAACTCTCGCACACGTGACATCAGTCAGGTTATCGTGGCCGTTTGTCACAACTCGTGTTTCCGTGTGCCGTTGTAATAAAACGAAATATTATGTGTTACGCTATAAATTCGCGTGACGCTCGCACGGGCCGCACACGCCCCCCTGAAATTCGCCGGCGAGGGGCGACCGCGGTGCGCAAGCGAACGTGACGCGGTAACGTTCGTGTGACACGTCACACGCTCCGAGCACACCCCCGTCGGCTGACGCTTCCTTACGACCTTCGCCGGCGCCCTCGCGCGTCCGAACGCAGAATTCGGACGAAGAATCCGATGTCGATGATAGTCCCGCTGTCGTTCTCTACCTCGATTCGAATGTGATCCCTACATCATTCCGCGTGTCGCGCGACAGTCGTTCGTGTAATGTTTGATATATTAAATGCAGTTGAAATTTCATTTCTACCTCGTGTTTGCTTCAACTCAATATTTACACATAATACGACTCATCGTAATCTGATAACTATAACCTCGTGATGTACTATAACCAATATCGCTTCCAATTCTGATATTTTGCACTTACAAATACTTGATTATAAAAATACAACTTTAACGATGACATAATTTGGATACATAAAATATTTTTTTTAATTTTCGTATAAAATAAAAACAATGAGAACTTCGGAATTCCCTTAGCCGATATTTCGCTGGTATTCGTATCGGAAAGAAGCAAATTTTGTCGAGACTCTTGAAGAATGAAATATCTAGACACATTTTAATTATTTATCTATATACTTACATTTATAACAAAACTGTAACAGACCTATGTCGGCACCTGGGTAAATATTTATGGATAACTTATACAGAAGGTTTATATAAATGTAACAGGGGACAATATAATCATTGTTAGAACTTTTGTCTGTATTTCTGTATGTTTGTTAGTTCGCGAAATACACAAAAACTATACAACGAAATTGACTCATTTTTTACAGATCTATTGCCAGAAGTCCAACTTGGAAAATCAGGTATATTTTATCATTGTATAACGCTTAAAAATCGTATTATAAGCAAAACTCTTACACTGGTATTTGTAACTGAATATAGAAAAAGATTTTTAATTTTGTGTGTGTATGGTTTTAAATCAGCTCATAGTCTCTTATAATTACATCTTTATAGGTAAGAAGAGAGCGAGCCCGTAATTGAGATCATGGTGGACACCGCGTTACCAAGTGATATAAAATATATAGTAATTTATATGTCCACGTGAGTGGAGCTGCGTAGTAAAAGATATAATTTTATAATGAGTTCGTACGGAATCCTTAAGGTGTGAGTTCGCACTTGTCCGTTATCTTTTTGAACTTCAAAAGCTTTTCAATAAAAATAATTTGACACAACCGGTTTCCTCTTCTAGCCCAACCACAGCCGAATGGTTTGTTTGATAGTGAAGTCGCACTTTTTACAGTTTGTTCAGGTTTGTTTAGCAAAAGCTGCGTTTATTTGCCACCCGATGTTACGTGACTAATATTCCACAATGCGACTTTGAAAAAATACATGCATTGCACCCAGAAATTAATTAAAATTAATGTTGTTTACTTTAACGTTGTTTAAACACAAAAATAAGTTATTTTAACATTCGAGAAAAGTGATTTAAAATAGATACTGAATAATATTGTATATAAGATATATTTTTCGTTTCCTTTATTCTTATGTTATTAAATGATAACTCAAGTCTTCTTCTATCCATATTTATAAATACTAGTTTTTTAAGAAATAAAATTTTTAATGACAGAAAGACTGATGAATTGAGAATTAAAATTATTTTTTTACGTTTCTAATGTTAATTTTCCGTTGTACCTGACGATTTAGAAATATTTCGTCACATCCAACAGCCCAGTGGGTTTTTCGATGACTCCTTCAGGAAATATAATACGCGTTGGCTGCTAAATATTGCCAATTGAAAAGCACGAGGTCGGCGAAATGGCGAGTTCTTTAATTACTTTAGATCTATAGTATCGATCAACACTTGGACCGCTAATCTTAAAAGACATATTCATTGACCAAGGTAAATACTCCAAAAGATATATATACATATATCAATTGAATCGTTCAGAAATTATAAAACGTCTTTAACTTTTCGTAGAACTCCAAAAAGATTGTATTGACCGGAGTACTAAAAACCAACCAAGAGCATGTCGGATGCTCGTTATAGGTTTCCGAAAATATAATTACAAAGATTTACACAACTCATAAAAAAGTACGCTGTTACACTTTTTCCATGTTTCCCGCACAGAATAGTTATAAGCACTTTAATCGCCTGTGACTAAAGCAAGTAGGTATGTGTCGAGTATTACTATTGAACTAGTATAAACTAAAGTGTATCAGCAAAAAAGCATATCTTTATGGCACTTACGTCTTCTTGTTGAGAAAAGCAGTTTTTCGGCACTAACTCAAAAACAGTATATTCGATCATAATCAAAATAATTTTTGTTAAAAGTATTAATTAAGCGTTATCTTTTTAATATTTTTTAGACGTACAATTTAGAAAATAAGGGGTGGGGACAATTTTTGCGAATTTCATACATAACATACGGACGGTAGGATATGACGAAACTATAAGGGTTTCGTTTTTGCCATTTTGGCTCGGAACCCTAAAAAACACACGAAAGTAAATAATCTTATCACCTCAATAATATCGTAATTTTTTCTTAACTGTAATCAGTAGTTTCAGGGAAGATGATTGATTTTCATGTATTCTCTTTAATATGTTAAACCAAGTGTTTTAAAATAATAAAAATAA